GATCTGAGCGATTCTTAGCTCTTGGGTGGAAAGATGCCACCATTGTCTGGTGCTTGAACAGTGATGACCTTTCCTGATTTGGCATTTCGGACCATCATAATGATGTGGCATTCCGCGTGACGTTTTAAGGCTTCCTATGCATGGCAGCCTGCAGAGCTTAAACGCTTGGAGGAGGTTTCTGAGTGCTTTGATGGCAAATTCCATCGTTCAACATTGGCATCCTGAGGGTCAAGATATCAAAGCTCCTTCAAAGTTTGTTCTTCCTCTCGATACCTGGTTGTAGTGGTAGGTCTGGAAGGTATGGTGCAAGACGCATTCCTAGGTCCGAGCCTTTCACCTATATTTTTGGTGCTGGGTGCAGCATTGTGTTATGAGTTGTGAGTTGCCCTCAGCTTGACCCACCACAAGAAGAACTAAGCGACTGCGTTGGACAGTGGCAAACCTGCCAGAATGAATGTCAATCGAACGCATAGGTTTGGAGCATCAATGCAATCCTGGTTTATAAGGTCTTACATGCAACTGCAACTTACATGATGCTTTTGCAAAACCTCTCATGTCTTGCAACCTTTTCGCTGAGGCAATCTCGCCGCGAAATGGAGTCCAAGGCTGCTAGTGTCATTGGCGTGCTAGGAGTGCTGAACGAAGTGTAAACGAAGCTGAACAGCTGAGCATTTTGATGTCGCTCGCTGAATGTTTAGCTTCTGCTTGAAGCTATTTGTGGCTGCCATAGTCTATAATCATGTCACTGCCTTCCTTGTGGCACGTGACCCAATTTGTCAAGCAGGCCACAGGGTTGCGGATACTGTCCAGCATCTCAGAACCTTAAAGCAGTTTTAGAGCGTTTGTACCTTTTTCTCTTTACTTGCTTGCTATTCAAAGAGCCCCGCCAGTCATGCCTCAATCTGCAAAGCTATCAATGAACCTTGGTTGCAGGGGCTCTCGCGCCTAGCGAAATTGGGTTCCTGAAGGCTGGACCTCAAGCACAAGGCAGGAACTGCACAAAGAAACTGTCCTGATCGAATGGCCAGTTTCTTTCTATGAAATCTTCCTTTAGGTGAGATAAGTTGCACGATTTGCATCTTTGGCCACGGGCTCAAAAGGTCCTTCGCGGTGGGGGATGTCCCTGTGCGCCAGGTGCAAGCGCGCGTCGCCCGCGCACGCTGACACCTGGTGCCTCGCGTGTTCAGCGTGGGAAGCGCTGGGCACGGAGCTGGGCTTTGCCTGGCACCACCCGGGCCTGAGGGTGGTCGCCTCCGACGTCCTCGTGAGCGCCGCGCGCACAGTGCGAGCGCTCCGAGTGACTCGGGGTGCGGCTCCCTCGGCTGGGCACGCCCGAGCGCTTCCTAGCGAAGCCTCGGCTCCCGCGGCCGAACGGCCGCCGTTGGCACGCCAGCTCAAGAAGGAGGAGCTGGAAAGCGAGACTGGAGCTCGCGGCAGCGGGGTCCTGGGACCTGTCGAAGAGGAAAGCGGCGAGGTCGAGTCAGAGGAGGAGGAGTCGGAGGCTTCAGAGGCCACCATTGTCCCCCCGGGGACGCCTGAGCAGGGCTTGGCCTCTAAGGCCAGCGCTCCAAGGCCGGCTGAAAAGAAGGACCGCTCTCCGGAGGCTGGTGCAAGCACCGTGCCTGTGGATCGAAGGTCGGAAGTGCGTGACCCTCGAGAGCGACCAGCAGGTTCTAAGCGACCAAGGCAGGAGCATCATCGACGACGACATCATCGAGGAGAAGAAAAAGGAGAGAAGAAGAGGTCTCGGAAGAGGAGGCCAAAGCACCGGGCAGGTCGCAAGCATAAGCGCCTGCATCGAGCGGAAGCCAATCCGTTCGTCCCGTTGCACCGGAGCTTGGATAGATCTCATTTTGAGTTCGACCCCAACCAGTCAAAGCACGAGGCCATTCCTGGCCTGCCCCCAACTCCAAAGAAGCGATGACGGCCCCGGCTTTTCCGGAGGCTGCAGGCGCAGAGCTAGGAGAATACGAAGTGGGCAACTTCGACCGATGGAACCTTTTTGCACCTCGTCGTGGACAAGTTATCACTACAGAACTGCCCGGCGAGGTTTATGGACAAGAAGGCATCGAAGCAGCTTTCGTGGTCTTGTCACGAGAGCTGGCTGCAGATGGGAGCTTGACGCTTCACGTACGAGCCTTGGGAAGCACCAACCCCGAGGCAATGAGTTGGTTGTCGTCCACGTTCAACCGACGGGCTGGCAGCATTCACATTTGCTTGAATGCTGGTCCGTGCCTGGTAGAAGGTTCGGCGTTTCACGTCCACAAGTTGGAGCTCTGGGATGGAAGCACTTTCCCAGAGCATCGTATGAGCCCCTCAGGAAGGCGAATTTTGAAGAAAATCCTGGAGGGACAAGACGATGGCATGGACGAGCCCGAGATGGTGACGTGGGGCCTCCAGAGGAAAGGAAGTCGGCCCTCAAGCCCCCAAAGGGAACTACCAAGCGTGCTACAGGCCCCAAGGCCACTCGTGGCAAAGGTTTGGGCGATGGAGCCAAGGCCAGGCGGTCAGCCGTGCCTCACGTCGAGGCTGGTGGTGGCGCGCCGGCCGAGACCGCTGGCATGGATGCCTTGCGGGGAAGGTTGGAAAAGATCAAGCGCAAGCAACAGGAGGCAGCGATTGGTGGACTTGGAGGCACAGATGGAGGCCGCTTGGACGACGAGGAGGATGGCGATGCCGAACCTGTACAGGAGAGGCTGAGGACTTCGACGAACTTGGATTGACGCATGCCAGGGCTGGCCCGAGCCGGGCCCTGGTGAGCATGGCCCCGGGGGGGGGGGGCCAAAAGATGGTATTTCGAGACCCTCGAGCGAGAAGCTGAGCAAGAAAGGCGTGGCTTCGTGTTTGGCCCTTCAAGCAGCTGCAGCTCGGGGGCGAAAAGACAAGAAGAAGAAGAGAAGGGGCAAGAAGGACAAAGCCCTTTCCGCGCTGCAGACTCTGTTGGGAGGAAAGCGCAAAAGAAAGAAGAAGAAGAAGGACGACAAGGACGGGGGAGGAGATCCTGGCGGGTCAGACGATTCGACTGGAGACGATTCCTCCTATTCAAGCGACAGGGAAAAGGATTCGTCAGGAGACGAGGCTCTTGCCCCCACTCAAAAAGAAAAGCGATCGCGAAGAGGGATCAGTGCTTGCGCTACTGGTCGAACAGGTGGAAGAACGCCTGAACGAGTTGGGCACAGGGGGAGAAAGTTCTGTCCCCCTGCTTCACGGGACAAAGTTGGTGACCTACTGGCACAACCTGATCCAAAGCAACACGGTGAACCAACAGTCCCGAGACGGGCGAGAGTTGTACTTGTTGGCAAATTGCATCGACCTTCTTCGAGTGGGGCGGCTCGCCCGACTGGGGGACGCCCTCGCGGCCAGATGGCTGGCCCTCGAGCAGGCGAGCCTGGACCAAGGCTGGTCAGCGGCAAGGCACTTGGAACTGTATTCACCAGAGCACCAGACCGCCGCCGGGTCAGCAGTAACGCTGGCGGCCAGGAAGTTTGGGCGTTTGATGGAGAAGGTCACGGCCGTGGACGACAAGAAGGGCAAGGGCAGCAATCGACCAAGAGGCAAAGGAGATCAGGGCTGGCAGAGAGCCGAGCCTTGGCAGGAGAAGAACAAAGGAAAAGGAAAGAAGGGCAAGCCGAAGGAGAACGCATGGTCTGGCCGAGGAGCATGGAAGAACCAGCAATGGGGCTGGCAGAAACAGGGGAACAAGGAGCAGGACCAGACCGACGAGAAAGGGAAGGCCAAGGAGGCCTGAGCTTCGATCATCCACCTGATTTGAAGTGGTGGGACGCCCTGATCACTTCCGCTGGCTCCGTAGCCGAGTTGGGAGTGGGGCTGCATTTCTTCGTCTTCAATGACACCGCAGCCGCTCGAGAAGAGCTGCTGAACCGACTTCGCGCCTTGTTGGCGCCTGAAAAAGAGTGCCAGCAATCACGGGGAGTCCTCCCCAAACGCAAACTTTTTCCGCTTCCGTCGATTTGGTCCGATGCGGTTCGAGTATTGTCGGAATTTGATTCTTTTGATAAAATCCGTTGTTCAAGTGAGTTGGTCTCTTCTTGTGCTTTGCCCTGCTGGTGTGAGCTGATTTTGTTATTTAACAACAACATGGCCCTGGGTAGACCAGGGCGCGGTCTGGGGAAGCCCACGGCCGCTCAAAGGGATTTGCTGCTGTCTATTGAACTGTCTGCCCAACGGCTTTTGAAGGACGATGTGCAAGTGGACTGGACTAATGCTGCTATTAGAGAGGACTTTGACAAACGCTCAGTGAGCTACACTGGAGAGGAGGTGTGCAAAGCGGAACCCCTGTCGTTGAGGCGAGTGATACCTGGGCTGCCCCCTGAGGGTCATGGCGGTTCCATTCAGGCCACAGACTGGGTGGATGGTAGGACGCGAACGCTGTTAGAGCACCCGGAGCTCTGTGTCACCCCTGACGTAGGACAGGAGCTGCCTAGGTTGCAAGGTAAGATTCATGTTGAGCCTGAAGACAGGATGGCGTTGTCCTTGGAACTTGTGAGGCGAGGTATTTGTCGTTGGATCCCTGAGAACAAAGTTGCCAAGTACCGAGGTGAAAAAGTTCTGAACGGCATGTTTGGGGTCCCTAAGTCAAAGCTGCTCCCAGAGGGGCAAACGATCTTGAGGTTGATTATGAACCTGGTTCCCTCCAATTCCATTCTACGTGTGATCACGGGTAGAGTCTCCGCCTTGCCAAGTATTACACAGTGGCTGAATGTGGTGGTGGACGAAGGTGAGACCATCCGCATTGCACAAAGTGATATGGCTTGTGCCTTCTACCTGTTCGCTATGCCTGAGTGTTGGTCATCGTACTTGGCGTTCAACTTGTCGTTCACAGCTGCGGAGTTACCGCTAGTTCAGAGTTCTGACCCAAGAGAACGATGGTATTTGGCGTGCCGGGTTCTCCCTATGGGTTGGTCGTCTGCCGTAGGTGTGATGCAGTCCATTGCGGAAGATGTTCTCTTGAAGGGGGGGTTTGATCCGGCAGGTCAGGTTACGAAGGTTGTGGCTTTACCCCCTTGGATTCTGGCCAGCGCGGCTGAAGGGCAGTTGCAAGGAAAACCATGGTGGCAGGTCTATTTAGACAACTTTGCGGCTGGAGCTAAGGTGAAAAGTGATGAGGCTGGAGAGCTGATCCGTATGCAACAGGATGCTGAGGCAATCTGGCAGGAAACAAGTATAGTAGTGTCACCTGGCAAGGTGGTTGCGGCAGAAAGTGGAGTGGAACTGGGCGCCTTCGTGGGAGGCAATGGTCAATGGCTTGGTGCAAGCGCAGAGAGGCTGGTGAAGGTCTGCAAGAGCACGATTTGGCTGTTGGGGCAAAAGGGACTAAGCCGTAAGAAGGTTCAAGTAATTATGGGAAGGTGGTGTTTCATCCTGCAATTTCGGAGACCGGCAATGGCTCACTTCTCAGATGTGTGGGAGTGGCTAGGAAGCCAAGGCCCTCAACCTCGGCTAGAGAGATTTACTCGAGATGAGCTTTTTCTAGCGTTGCTAGGGTTGCCGTTGTACCATACGTGGCTGGGAGCAAAGGTTGACATGGTAACTACCTGCAGTGATGCTAGTCTCACAGGAGGAGCCGTTGCAGTTGGGCGCTCATTGACTACAGCTGGTGCAAGTTTCCTCTGCTCCCAAGAACGTGGAAACCTTCCTGAGGGTGTCCCTGTTGTGGTAATCTCTTTGTTCAACGGAATTGGAGGCGCTGCTCGTTGCTATGACATAGCGGGGGTCAAAGTGAAAGCCATGGTAGCGTGTGACGTACACGCTCCTGCGAATCGAGTGGTTGCCCGGAGGTGGCCTGAGACCGTGTTTCATGAAGACGTGCGGACGCTGACCAAGGATGTTCTGTTGGAGCTTCTCAAAGATGTTGGGGACTTTGAAGCTGTTCATCTCTGGGCAGGTTTTCCGTGTGTTGATGTAAGTTCAGTGCGGGCCAACCGGCAAAACCGGAGTGGTCCATCCAGCAGCCTTATTCATGAGGCCATCCGAGTTTTTGGAGACTGCGCAGAGCTCTTCCCTGAGAAGAATTTCCAATTTTTCGTGGAAAATGTCGCTAGCATGGATAACGAGGTGAGGGATCAGATCAGTGGCTTGCTTGAAGTGCAACCTTACAGGTTGGATCCTCGGAAACAGGTCCCAAACTCCAGGCCACGTTTTTGTTGGACTTCGCTGGATCTCACCGGTTTCCCAGGACTGACTCTCGTTCCCAAGGACGGATTTGTCGAGGTCCTGGTGGAAGGTGAGTGGCCCCTTCCTAGTCAGTGGATAGAGCCTGGATGGGTGCAGAATGACCCTATGACAGTTTACCCGACATTCATGAAGGCGATTCGACGAGAGAGACCACCTCCCCGTCCAGCAGGCTTAGCACGAACAGATGACTTGACTCGCAGTCGATGGTGCTCGCATGAGTATAGATTCCCTCCTTACCAGTACAAAGGGCAATTTTTACTGACACATCCCGACCAGACGTCTGCCAGGCTGCTCAATGCGAGCGAGCGTGAAAGACTGATGGGATACGGTCATCAGCGTACAATAGTTTGCGTGGCGGCGTCAAAGGCTAAGAGCAATAAGACCGCTTTTGAGGACGAACGGTGTTCCTTGGTAGGAGATTCCTTCTCCATTTGGTCGTTCTCATTGTTTGCAGCGGCCGCGGTCTATCATTGGACACAATTCTTTGATGCGCAGGTTCTGTTTGGTCGTATGGGTTTGCCCCCAGGCTGTGGGCTCCGGTTGCCTTTGCTTTGCCCCCTGCAGGTAGGAGTTGAATTCCCTACATGCAATGCCCACCATGTCGTCGAAGATATGAATCGGCATCTCGCGGCCAGAGCTCGACACACTGGTAGCGATGTGCGGATTTCGACAGGACAGGTGTTGAACCCAAAGACTCTTCCCCGTCAAAGCGTCTGGTCGGTTTGGTGGGAGTGGAGCCACGTCTTTAAAACTCGATGGGAGCGGGAAGAGCACATAAACGCTCTTGAGCTGCGTGCAATCTACCTCACATTGTTGTGGCGTGCTTTGAATCGGACCATCACAAACCGCAGGCTTTTTCACCTCACAGACTCATACGTCAGTTTGAGTATCCTTTCAAAAGGAAGGACAGGGAGCCACAAGCTCACTTACATTGTGAGAAAAATTAATGCAGCGCTTTTGGCGGCTCATGGTCAGTTGTATTTAGCACACATTGACTCGGCTGATAACCCAACCGATGAGGGGTCTCGCGCCTGATGTCCTGCGCCGCCGCCGACGCCTCAAACGGCGAGGGATCTCATTGAGGGATCGAGCCATCACCACTAAGACCCGTCTTCGGTATTTTCTGGCTGTCACGGCTATATTACCTTTGTTGGAAAGCACATCAGAGGATATCGAAGACTGCTTGGTTGAGTGGATCGACCAGGAGTATCTTCGAGGGTCAAGCATTACTTCTGTAGCTGACACACTGTCGGGCTTGCATCACTTTCTCCCTTGGTGCAAAGGGAAAATACGGGCAGCCTGGAAACTATATGGGATCTGGAGAAGAATAGAAAAACCTCGACAAGCTCCGCCTTTCCCGCTGGAAGTCATAGTGGCCCTAGTGGGACGGACTCTGGAACTTGAGGACCTCAGATTTTCCTTGTGCTTGTGCCTAGGTTTTTGGGGCATGTTGAGAACAGGCGAACTTTTTGAGCTCCGCTTGCGGCATTTGCTCCTGAAAGGTAAGACCTTGGTGGTTCGGCTAGGGGACACTAAGACTGGGGTCCGCCGACAGGTTGACGAGAATGTGATCGTTCAACATCCAGGTATAGTGGCCATTTGTCGTACTGTCTTGGAACTTTTCGGGCGAACGCAGAATAAACTTTGGAATCGCTCCACGAGTGACTTCAGAACCCAATTCAAACAGCTGTTGAAATTCTTTCACCTGCCCATGTCGTTTAGGCCCTACTCTTTACGCAGAGGCGGTGCCACAGAAGATTTCCGCCAACACGGCCTTATGGAACGCAGCCTTTTGCGTGGACGTTGGGGGTCCTCGGGCGCAGCCCGTCAATATATCCAGGAAGGGTTGAGTATGCTTACTAAGTTGAGTTTGTCCCCCCCTTCCCAGGCCCTTATTGCACACTATGCTTTACTTTTTGATCCTCTTTGAGGACCAGTACAGGGGACGTGGAAGGAGCTGAAATCCGTTGTGATTCGTGCTTCTAGTGCCATTACAATCAGTGAGTGACTTGCC